CCCCCCCCCCCCCCCCCCCACCCAGGGTCAGGTCAAAAGATCGCCCTCTGGGATGGGTGGGTTTGGATATGGATTTTGGGAAGTCTTTTCCTGTGAGCATGCGCTACGTTGGCTTTAAGCCCCGACTTGGGTCTGTCTCCTTGTGTGTGAGATGGGTGTTTTTGAGTCCGCATGTATGTGGATGCGTGTGCGTACACACACACACACATTGAATCGGTACCTGCTGCAGCACCGCCTGTTCGTCGCCTACACAGTTAGTATGGCAGCTGTGAGACTATATCTAGATACCTCACTTGCATACACGCATGTGACGGGCTATATGAAACATAGCTGGCGCCTGTCTATGTCGCGGGTCATTGGCACATCTACGATCATCTTTGTTGCTTCAATCTGTTTCCGAACAGTCCATCTATGGGCATGTACGACCCTTCCTAGCTGAACCCATGCTTCTGCATCGCCTACAGCCCCCACAGCCTGCTCCGCCTTGGACAGATGCTCTCGAGCTTTCGCGGCCTTGGTCCAGGCCGGGGCTTGGCACTGCAGAGGATGTCTTCTCTGTCCTAGCGTCTTGCAAGTTAATGCAAGTTACGAACAAGCGGCTGCAGGATTTTTATCACGCCTGGTCTGCGCACGCACGACCCTGGTATGGTCTGAGCTTTGAAGCTGCGATCTCCCCGCACCCCCAGCGCCACATGCATGAATGCAATGCTCTTCCTTGAGCAGCGGAGTCTCGGCCAAGCTTGTCATGCAGGTGGGTTGGGGCCAGGAGTCGTGCGGAAAATCTTCAGCGATCCACGTCGTGGGATCTCCGAAGCTCTAGACTCTAGGGTTCGATCTCCTCGATCCTCTCATCTCTCGATTATAACTCGGAGCTTCAGACGCATCAAGCGATCGCTGGCATCTCGGCCGGCACTAGTGGAGGGAAGGATTCTGTCCGGCCGTGGAAATCACGGAGCTCGTGCACGTTGGTGAGCATCTCATCCGACTCGCCCAGATCGTCGCTCTTCCTAGTGAGGGTGTGTCGAGCATGCATCCCACAGGGACAATACAAGCTGAAACAGCTGTACAACATCACAAAGATGCTGCTGGCAGATTCAGTAGTCAATTCAGCTTTCAATATGGCAGCCAAGGCTCTTCCCATCCGCCGTGGTGCCAAGGACACGAACGCTTAGCTTCCGCCTCGATGGGGCGCCCTTTGCAAGGTACTCCTCGCAGGCAAGATAGGATGTGTTCTCAATTCGTTTGCGTGTTGAAGAAGATTCATACTCTTACATATGTATGTCTGGACAACAAAGCCCGCAGGAAGCTGTTTCTAGCAAGATCAGTTCTGCGGGATGTGGGCTGGATGCCGGCAACGGGGGACAAAGGTGGGAAGCGCCCGAAGGCCCAAAGCGACCTCGAAGAAGGCGGCCACATCTTCCTTCTTCACTGACTTCAGGGCCTCCGTGGACTCGAGGATGCGTTCGAACCTGGAGCTTCAGCTTGGTGGTGGTGGTTGTAGACGTCGCCGGGGCTGTGGTGAACCGCAAGAAGTTGTAGCATGTACTTATGCGATGTTTTGGGGTGGAGCTGCTGGACAAGAGGAGCAAAACAACACGAATCACGGCCAAAAGCAAACCGAAAGAAAACTCGTCGTGATTGCTGGACTTGCTCGACATCGGCCCCAATTCAACACGACCTAAATCACGACACATCCAAAGATACATCCAGCTTCCTTCAGGTGCCCCACTGACACGCATTTGCGCGCTGCAGCTTGGTCTCAAGAGGAGGACCGCTGGCAACCGTGATAAACCCGTGAAACCTCCAGTTGAGTACCATCAATCCCCGTTCGGATCGCTATCTGGTTGACTCCCTGGGCTGCGGGTGAACTGAATGCATGTGCCTAAATGCAAGGCCAGCAGCTGATACCGCCGCGGCAAAATCTCTGCCCAGTGCCGAGTAGCCTACAAGCAAGAAAGAACAGCACACAACAAGCTCGCAATGGTAGCCGGAAGCTAGGTTATCAACCTGGACCCCAATTCCGAAACCTTGTTCCCGCCAGCGCGACAACATGGGAAAGCTGAGACACTGAGTCATCAGGGACCAGGAGGACTACTCCCTCCACTACCGCTGCAACTACTACTACTACTACTACTACTACTACTACTGCTACTACTACTACTACTACTACTACCACCTACTACTACTACTACTACTACTACTACTACTACTACTACGACTACTAGGGTTCCGC